TATCAGAAAATGGAAAGATATCCACTGTTCTTGGACCGGCAGAACCAATATAGTGAAAATGGCCATACTTCCAAAATTGTTACATACATTTAGTGCAGTTCCAATCAAAATACCAATAGCATGCCTCACAGAACTAGAGAAAACAATCTTGAAATTCATATGGAACCAGAAGAGACCCAGAATATTAAAGGCAATTCTGGACAACAAAGGCAAGGCTGGGGACATCATAATTCCTGATTTGAAGTTATACTACAAAGCTACTGTGATAAAAACAGCACAGTACTGGTAACAAACAAACAACAAAACAAAACAAAACAAAAAAACCAGTCCCTAGGATCAGTGGAACAGAATAGAAGATGCAGAAACAACTCCAAGCATACTTCACTACCTTATCTTTGACTAAAAAATCCCTTCACTTAGAGAAAGGTAATCTCTTCAATAAATGATGTGAGCTTTCCACATGCTGAAAATTGAACCTAGACCCATATCTTTCACAATTCACTAAACTAAAACCAAAATGGATCAAAGATCTAAATATAAAAATAGAAACACTTCATCCTCTGTAATATAGAATAGGTAAAAGTTTAGAAGACATAGATGTAGGTAAAGACTTTATAAACAAAATCTCAACAGCACAAGGAATATTACAAAGAATTAATGACTGGGATCACCTCAAATTAAAAAGTTTCTGCACAGCAGAGAAACCACCAATAGAGTGAAGAGACAACATGGAAGGGAAAAAAACTTACCACCTACTCCTCAGACAGAAAACTAATGTCTCGAATATATAAAAATCAGAGTCTCCCCCATATTTAAAGACCAAATCCAAAAATGGACATTTGAATTGAATATACATTTTTCAGGTGAAGAAATAAATACATGAAGAAATGCTCAACATCATCGGTCATTTGAGAAATGCATATTGAAACAGCACTGAGATTCCATCTCACTCCAGAAAGAATGGCTGCCATCAAGAAATGAATAAGAAATGCTGGCAGTGCTGTGGGTATTAAAGAACCCTTCTGTGTTGTTGCTGAGAGTGTACAAGTTTTCATTCTCACCAACAACAGAGGAATCAGTATGGAGAGTCCTCAAAAAAGTTAAAACTAGAGGTTCCATTTGACCCAGCTGTTCTTATGGAAAGTATTACTCCATTATATATAAATATCACATTCTCTTTATCTGCTCATCTCTTGATGGGCAAATGGGCTCTTTATCTGCTCATCTCTTGATGGGCAAATGGGCAAACTTTCTTCTTACCAGGGCAGAATACTTAATGTTCACAAATTGAAGGGGAAGGGGTTTATTTTGGTCACAGTTTGTAGAGGTTTCAGTTCACAGTTGGCTGAATCCATAGTTGGCATGGCAGATGGGACTAGCAGAGGTGAAGCAGCTCCCAGCATGGTAGGCGGGAAGCAGAGTGAGATCGAAGGAGTGGGAAGGATGTATATCTCCAGGCCGCACTCCCAGTGGCTCACTTCTTCCCACCAGGCTTCCCCTCCTAACATCATGCATGGTACAAAGCCATCATCAGACTACTCCAGTACCATATACCCATGATCCAGTCTCAAAAGCCCTACTTATGAACACATGAGGCTTTGAGGAGACATCTACATAGAAGCCATAGTAGCCATTTATGTTGATCTATATTTGCCCTAATTTCAACAATACTCAGTGTATCTGTGGATTGAAACATCACATGGCACTCCAGAAATGAACTTTTATGTCAGTTAAGAATTACAAAAGAAACTAAAAACTAAAAAACAGAAGACTGATAGGTAACTCTCTTGCCTTGCCCTCAGGTTATACCAACTGCTCCAACAAACAATAGCAAATGCTGTTTCCCAGGCACATAACTGAACCACCACAGTGAATAAGGTTAGAACTATCGGATCCTGTGTGCCAAAACCCTGCCCATTTCCTGGCTAGCACTGTATCATTGATGCACCGAGTAATAGTGATATGCCTCCTCTCTGTTGGGCATTGTACTGAGTGCTGAGGTTAAAAGGATTAGAAGGGCACAGTCCCTGTGATGAAAAAGCTTACAGTCCACAAGTTAACCAACACCAGTACTGTCTTGCAAGCATCTCCCCCTGGTACTCTCTAGTTCAGCACTACTTCCTCCCTTGGGTCAGTCTGCTGCTGTCTAGTAAAATTTCTGGGGTCTGATCTCCTTCAAGAGTATGGTTTTCGTGTCAGTAGAACTCTTGCCCATTTGTCTTGCTCCCTAGAGGGCTGGCCCACATCCTGGGTCCTGTGACATATGGGTCATGTGTGTAGGGGATGAATGTGAAAAAACATTGTGCGGGAGTAGGTAAGGTACAGAGGAGGAAGTGAAATCATTAGTATGACTAAGATCCCAGCACTTTGAGTATGACTAAGATCCCAGCACTTTGAGTTCTCTCTTCTGATTGCCCCAGCCAGGTGACCTGAAGCAAATGTCTCTGTGCCTTAGTCCTGCACAGATATGAGGATAACAGAATTCCTCCACTCAGGCCTGTTGCACAGATTCAGTGAATTAATTGAAACAAATGATATGGTAATAGATGTTATATTATCACAGCTCCTTTTATTCTGCTTGCATCTCCTTTCCTGTCCCATGCACGCTTCCTAACCATTGGCTAAAATCCTCTAGCCCTCCTAAACCATCACACCAGAATGCTCTGTCCATGGATAGGGGAGTGCAGAGAGAACTTGGTGCTCGGAGAAATGAGCCTCTTTCTATGCGTATTTCATTCTATAGTATAGATAGAATGATAAGAAATTCTATTTTAAGACAATTCTTTGGTATAGCAGAATTGTCCTCCAAAGACAGGGAAGTGAGACAGATAGTATGTGGCAAGAAGAAGGGCAGGAGCCTCAATGTGACTCCTTTGAGGTCCTGTGGGGAGTATGACATAGAATTAGATGGAGAAATCCCACCAGCTTCGGTTCCTTTCTTCCCACACAAAGCAAACGACCCAGGGAGGAGACTAAGAACTTAGTCTCAGGTCCACTTAGCTCAGGCAAATTAGACTTGAGTGAAAGCAGCAGCCTCTGACCTGGTTTTTACACCCCTCTCCCGCACCCCTGCATGTGTTGGGGCAGCTGCAGCCTTTCCTGTGTACTGCTAGCTAGCACCTTCTTCCCCAGTACCCTGAGCTCAGAGACTCTAGCAGCAGATGGTGAGAAAGGCAGGCTGCTCTCCAGGCCCTCCTCCTGCGCTTGATCTGCCAGTGACCCGTGCTGGGCTCTGGGTAACGCGGCAACAGATGTAGAGAGCTGGGTGCAGCAGACACATAGTTCCCCTATGCTGAGGGGAATGTCCGCCCCTTTGCTGTTCTTAGCTCTCATCTGTTCTCTGGAAATGTCAGTCTGATTCATTGAAACAAGACTGTGAGTTTTGAGGAAGTCGCAGCTGTGCCCTCAGTGGGGGATGCACCAATTTATCTGCTTGCGTCTCAATTGGGGAAGAAGATGCTAAGTGAAGACACTGACTAGAAATGAGACTGAGATTGACATGGAACCTACAAACAAGATGGAGCGAATCAAGGAGCATGTAGAGGAGAAAGAGGGAATCCTGCCACAACAGAACACAGTTTTCTGGGATTCCTTCCTCCAAAGTGAGATTTGACTTCCAAATACATGCCAGATGTGTATAGTTCCCAACTGTACTAAGTAGGTAAGAGGCTAAAATCCAAAGTGCCCATCTTCCAACTTTGCCTGTTGTGGTCTGTCTTTGGATCAGCAGTAACTGCTTGAACAGCTACTATGGACTCATTAATTTTGTCTCTGAGTTCCGTATGCTGCAATCACAGAATTTGAGCAGCTTCATTAAGAACTGTATCTCCTGTGTCAAAACCAGCAATGTGGTTATCTAAAGCAATGTGTTGTCTAAGGCAAGCTCTCTCTTTTGTTTGATTTGCCTTAGTGCCTAATGCTGCAGCCTGTGATAGGCGCTCCTGACCTGAAGTGGGAACATCATGGTGCTAACTCTGAAGGAGTTTGGCCAAAGCCCTTACACCAACCTTAAAATTGGGATTATTTGCATCTAAAATGGCAATTGCTCTGAATTTTGACTTGCATTGCCAATATTTTTTTGCTTTATCAGGTGCTAAGTCCTTGCATTTTTCAGCATTATCTCCATATTCAACTCTAACAGCTAAACCAAGAAGCTAGTCAGTCGCTTCTTGCCCATCCTGAATCTTGAAAGGACAGTTAACATCTCTGAGACACTTTTCAAAGAACTCGGGCTAGTCACTGCTGAGGATGTTTCTTAAATTATCTCTGTCTTCAGTCCTGTAGCATCTGATTTTCTGGTTTTCAAGTCAAACAATAAAGTTTCTAAATTCTTTTTTATCTTTGCACCTGGCAGGGTTGTGGTTGTTGGGAGCCATCAGCTTTTATGGAACAGGGTCCCGCTTCTCCTTTGGGACCCCCAGGCCTCAGCAGGGAGAGAAGCAAGGTTGAGCAAGCTGGTCTCTCACCCGCTCTTCTAAGCAGTCTGTCTCACTGACTCGGATTTCCATCATCAAGAAGAGGTGTTCACTTTGGTTACTGCTTTCATTTTGCAGACAAGAAAACTAAAGCATACATAGCTTCAAATACACCAGGCACTTAAAAGTTATATTCTGCTCTTCTCAAAGCTAAACTTGATGTAGCCCCCACCCCTTTCCCTCTGGTACTCTCCAGCCCGGGAAGTCACCGTCCTCCCATGGCGTGAATAGGCAGCCTCCCGTGTCCACTGCCCCCACCCTCCAGCCTCCAACATACCTCTCTGTTGGATCTGTCTCCATGCAATTCTCTGTCTTTCTTTCTAAAAGATAAATGTGAAGATCTCAATTGTCACTAGTTCCCTGCAATGCTCCCTTCTATCTGCAGGATAAAATTGACTTGTTTTAAGGGAACTTCCAGCATCTGGGGTCTGCTTCCCCTTCCCCTCTCCACAGCCCTGAGCTCTTGTCACTTCTCACCTCCCACACTCCCGATTCTCATCACCGATTTCACAAGCCCTCTGTCTCATCCCCTTCCACAGCTGATGGTCCCTTCTGCAACATGCTTTCCTGTACGTGCCCACCTTCAGTTGCCTTCAATACTCAAGTCAAGTGTGGCCCCCTCCAGAAAGCCCTCGGAGAAATCCACACCCTCTCAGCCTCGGTAAGATGCCCTGTGGTCCCTGCACGTCCCTTCTCAAAGTGGCCATTCTGTTGTTTACCCATTTGCCTTCAGGACCCCAGAACTGGTGCCTATGGTCTGTTTTCTCCTCCACCTAGCAAGGGACTTGTACAGTCAGCCTCAAATTAGGCTTGTGGAATATATGATGGGAGAAGCAGTGAACGAATGAACAAATGAATGAATATTTCTCTGTACGTCTCCCAGGGGCCATTAGCTCACTCCTTGTGTAGCCAGTATGAAAAAATGAAGCTTTAAAAGTTATATTTTTTTAATTTTAGACATAAACAGATTCTCCTTTTAGAGATAAGCAAGATTTTTCAAACTTGTGCTGTGCACACAGCTAGCATGCTCTCCTGTCCTCAGCCCAGATAAAGTGATGGAATATGCGAAGGCCACAAGCCTAGGGGAGGGAGCAAGCTACAGACAGCCTGGGGCAGTAAAGGAAGCCTCTGACATGTGCTGGCTCACAGCCCCGGTCCCCCTTGCCCCTGTTCCTTGCTATGAAAGATGCTACATGCCTGTACTCTGGGAGATGTTTTGAGACAAATGGGCCTCTCCATCTCCTTGGAGCTTGCTTTGAATAAGCTCTTCTCCCTTTTCACCAAGATAAATGGCCTCCTTTGAATTTGGTCAGCAGCCAACAAACAGACCTAAGCTTCTGGATCTAAGTAGCCAGTAGCACTTGGCCCGGGGGTTCAGGTCAGAAGAGGTGGGTTTCTATAGAAGGCGGACTATCAGAGAAGAGGAAGGGGTGTGAGCAAGGTGGAGAGATGGGGAAATGGAAATAGGGAGGTAAAAATAATTCAAGCATATTATACGCATGTGCAAATATACCAAAAATGAGACTGGTTTTCTGCATAACTAATATGTAAAAGTTAAAAATAAGAAAGAAAGGAAAGCATTTCTGTCAGGATACTCAAGGCTGACTTTTGCACCTCTCCCCTCTCCAGACTGACTGAAATTTCATGATCAAGGGGAGGCTTTTGCTGGTACAAGAGGAAACGGAGAGGCCTAAGGCAGGGCAGGAGATTCACCTCTGCCCAGACAAAGACCACTAATACCAGAGAAGCCAGACGAGTCATCTTTGATTAAGAAAACTCTGGACTGGGAGTGTGTGGGCTGCGTCAGCCCCCTTCTCTCTCACTTCAGTTGAATTCTCCCTCCTCCTCTGAGTCACGTTGACAACTTCCCTCTCTGCCGCTGGCCTCCTAACCACCTCTGCTCCAGGGCTTCCTCAGTACCTTGGTCTGGCTGTCCTGTGGAAGCCCAGGAGCTCAGAGCTGTGCATCGGATCTTACAGTCATGAGCAGGACCTGCACAATCCTCCTGCTGTTCACAGGTGAGCGTGTGGTCCTCCAGTCCAGACAGGAGACTTGACATTTAGGGGAGGCTGGTATACAGGATTTGGGATCTGTAGTTTGGGAAGGAAGAGGATATTGAAAACCAATCTGGGGGGAATTCAAGGGATGGCTTACCTATCTAAGAATTTCTAGGCAAAGCAAGTCATTTTTGTGCTCTGTCTGTGGTGCCCTTGTGGCCTGCCGGTCTTCCTAGCTTCTTCATGGGCATACCAGAGGTAAAGGTGGGGAGGAGCAGTTTTGAGTTCTGGAGGTGATCATCCCTTTGTGAAAATGGAGAACTGAAACTTGCCAGGGGATTAATGCATGAAAAAACACCTGTGAAGGACAGAGGTAGGACAGGTCTGGGAGGCCAGGAAGTTAGGGGACCCTGGAGAATCAGGGTGAAAGTAGAGAAGAGGGCGCAGGAGGAAGACCCTTTCCAAAGCTCTCCTGTCACTTCCTCAGCCTTAGCTGCTTCTCTTGGCTTCAATCTGGACACACAGCAGATGACAGACTTCCATGTGGACAGCCCTGGGTTTGGGCACAGCGTGGTCCAGTATACCAACTCCAGGTGAGGACAGGTGGCGCCTGGTCTTCTGGGCTCATCGGCTCCCCTTCCTGCACAGAGCCCTGTGCCTTCCCAGCCCATATCCCGTGGCATGACTTGCACACTTGCCTTCTGTTGGGTGTGGCCACTTTCCCAAGGTTGCTGTCAAGGTAATTACAGCTGATATTCATCGGGCACTTTCTAAGTGCCAGGCACTGTGACCTGCACACTACAGTTGGGCACCAATTTAGCTTTCTCGATCTTAGGAAGAATCAGCCTTCCAAAATGTTTATTGTATGCCTACTATATGTCTCAGGATCTGGATGTACCCCAGAGAATAAAGCAGATAGCAATATTACCCATGCAGAATTTACTAATCTCCATTGTATAGATGGGAAACTGAGGTGGTGGAGAGGAAGTGGGGTTCTCAAGTCTATACTCCTAACTGCAGGGTCCTCTTTCTCTCTGCAGGGTGATGGTTGGAGCCCCCAAAGAGATCAAGGCTACAAATCGGACAGGTGGCCTCTACCAGTGTAACTATCCCACACGCCGCTGTGAGCCCGTCCCCCTGCAGGGTGAGTCACTGACCTGCTGGGGCACAACACAGGCTCCCACAGCAGCTTCAGCTCTGCCTGCAGACCCCCTAGTCTCAGAGAGCCTTCCTGACTCTCTCAAGGCCTCTGCCTGTCACATCCCTGCACTCTCTTGGCTCCATCATGACCTCAAAGTCTCCCTCGCCTGTCAGGTATCGGTATCCTTGTCCCAGAGGTGGCTGTGACCTAGTTCTTACCCAGTCTCTTCTTTCCTGACAGTCATCATGCTAATATGTCTCCTCAGTCCCCCCAGAGGCTGTGAATATGTCCCTAGGCTTGTCCCTGGCCGCTGCCACCAACCCTTCCCAGCTGCTGGTGAGTTGCCCTGGATCACAAGAGAGTCTTTAGCGGGGAGTGGGCCCCAGGGCTGCTGGAGCTGGAGTCTGGGGTGGGGGTGTAAGGGTTGAGTGTGGGGAAGGGGCAGGATCAGGGCAGCCTCTTGCAAAGCTCCCTCTGTCCCCAGGCCTGTGGCCCTACTGTGCACCAGGCATGCAGACAGAACATGTACTTGATGGGGCTGTGCTTCCTGTTGGCCTCTCCTGGACAGGGCAGCAAAAAGCTTCCGGATTCTCTGCAGGGTGAGTACTGGGCCCCCAGCTCCTTTGGGGAGCCCACATATTCAATTGGGCATCTCAAAAGGTCAGAGACTTACACCAGCACAGATAAGAAAGGGAGGAGCTATGCGAAGAAATAATTACTGAATGATGTAGTGACTCCACCACAGATGGAGTGTCACACTGCCTGTGTTGACACACTGCCTGTGTTGACACACTGCCCTGTCATTTTCCCACTGTTGTGCCTCTTGGCTTTAGTTTCTTCATCTATTTTTTTTTAAACCGGTACCAGGATTGAACTCGTGATCATGTGCTCGCAAGGCAGGTGCTTATGCCGCTGAGCTAAATCCCCAGCCCCAGTTTCTTCATCTGTTAAATGGGGCTAATGACACAGCCTACAATAAAAGTAACACAAGATGACCCGTAGCACAGTGCCTGGTGTGAGATGAAGGTGTCTTAGTGTAAGCTGCTGTTATTTCTACAGAGGCTGGGATTCATTTTCTTCCATTGCAACCTGGGGTGTAACCACTTGGTTTGTGCAGCAGTCTGGGAAATGCTGGTGAGGGTATGGTCTGGGCAGTGTGTGTACACATGTGTGTGTGCATGTGGATATGTGTGTATGTACGTGTGTATATCAGGGCTGGCCAAAAAATAACGTGTGTGTTTAAATTTTAAAAAAATTATTTCAGTAAAAGACATATTACCAAGAATCCCTCTCAGATATGACTCCTCAATTTGAACATATTTATCCCACCATTTCTGTAGTATTTCAAATTCTCTTTTGTGTCTGGTTGCACTATCAGGACTGGCTCCATGTTCTGAATGAATTAAAAATTTTCACAGCAATTTCTGCCAAATAACAACATTTTAGTGTGTCCTCATTCACCCTGCTCACTGGATCTGCTACTGTGGGACTCCTGGCTCTTCCCCAAAGTCAAAATGACCATGAAAGGTGAATACTTTGAATTCACTCAGGACATTGAGGCAGCTACTAAAGAGGACTTGCAGAGCTGCTTCAGAAAGTGACAAGAATGATGGGACAAGTAAGTGTGTTGGAAGAAAGGGGGAGCATTTTGAGAGAGATTGATAGCAATGTGTCTTTTACTGTAATAAAATTAAAAAATTAAACATCCACCACATTTCTGAATATATCACATCACAGTATGTGTATTGATTTGAGTATGTGTGCACGTGTGCATATGTGTGTATGTACATGTGTGTGTGTGTTCAGGTACTTGTTACACAGACTGAGACACAGGGCTTTTCTGGCGCTGACAGGCATGGGTGATAGGAGGAGGAACAGTGAGTTTCTCAGATGTAACTTGGCTTCAGATTCACTTTGGAACACTGACATTGGGTCACCATCAGGCTCCCTTTCCAGAACCCCACTGGGCCAACACTCCACCCACAGGGGTCATCAGAACACCTGGGGCACCCTTGTCTCTCTTGTGGAGCGCCTTCCATGCAGAGAGGCATAGCCTGTGGGCTGGGGTGGAATGGAGTCTCCTCCCCTGAGCTGGCAGAGCTTCCCCTTCTGAGGGCAGTTTCCTCTTCTGCTCTGGGGTGGATTGGGGGCCCACATTCCAACTAAGAATGGAACACGGCCAGTGTGAGACTGTTGTCAGTGATGACATTAAAATTAGTGAGCACAAGTTCGGTTCTGCTTTGACCCATGAGGACAGACCCTGGCCAGGGCTTGTGCCAGGTCTTTTCCTTGGCAGACACCTTGGGTGTGGGGGAGATGGGCTCAGGCAGAGAGGAGCTGGTACAGATGGCCCAGGTGGAAAGAGGGCTCTCAGCTTCTTACCTACATGGGAGTAACATTCACATTTTAAACAAAAAATCCATCAACCAAGGTGGCTGAGCAGGGTGATGCAGCTCTATCACAGCCTCTCTGTGGGACTTTGGGGGACTCGGGGGCAGGTGTTTAGAGAAGTCCTGACAAGCAGGGGAACTTGGGTGTGGACTGCAGTGGGGGAAGGGTGCTAGGAGAGTGAGTTCCCATGGCCAGGAGGTCCTGGGCTCTTGCCAGTGGTCCTTAAATTACGGTGCCACTTCTTTTTCTAGAGTGCCCAAGGCAGGATCACGACATCGTGTTCCTGATTGATGGCTCTGGCAGCATCACCCGCATTGATTTCACCAAAATGAAAAGCTTTGTGAAGTCTGTGATGAGCCAGTTCCAGAGGCCCAGCACCCAGGTGTGCCCATAGGGGAGGGAGCCAAGTCTGCCGGGCATTGCTGGGGTGGGGGATACTTGCTGTGGAAGTGCTGGGGGCCCCAGAGAAGTAACCTCAGCTCCTGGCTCCATGTGTGTCTCCCAGGTTTCTCTGGTGCAGTTCTCCAGCCGATTCCAGATACACTTCACTTTCAAAGACTTTGTCTCCAGCTCAGATCCTCTAGGGCTGGTGAACTCTGTGAGCCAACTAGGAGGATACACTCACACAGCCACGGCCATCAGAAATGTCGTGTGAGTGAGCCTAGACTCCCCTACATCCTTTCCCCAGGCGCCCAGCTCCTCCTTGGGCCCTCATCTGCCTCCCTGAGAAAGAGCCATGCAGAAATTGAAATCCAGCCCATGCTCCCCTTGCCAAATTGGGACCCTTGCAGCGGGACTGAGGCTTCCAGAGGCGGGGGCATGTCTTCATTTTCCCAAAGGTATCAGAGGCTGGTATTGCTTTTTCATCAACCTCTGATTCCCCTTCTTTCTTGATAGAAATCAACTATTTACCACCCAAAATGGAGCCCGCAGGGATGCCACTAAGATCCTGATTGTCATCACTGATGGGCAGAAAACAGGCGATGCTCTGGATTATAAGGATGTCATCCCTATGGCTGAGGCAGCAGGCATCATCCGCTATGCAATTGGGGTAGGGCACGGGGCTGGCTGTGGAGGTGCCTGCCCACCACGTTCTCTCAAGTCTGCTTTGCTTTTCTGGGTAAAAGTCCTCATCTGGAGATATAGCTCAGTGGCACAAGTGCCTGCCTGGCAAGTACAAGGTCATGAGTTTGATTCCTGGTTTAAAAAAAAAATCTCCATTTCCCCATTTCCTACTGTATTTGGAAAACAACTCTGCCCTAGCCTGAGGCTCAGGATTCTTTTCCTAAAACTCCATGCTATCTGAGCCTCCTTTTCCTCTTCTGTGTCATAAGACTGCACCAGCAGCATTCTTGGAGGCTATGAACACCCAGGACATATCGGCACATCAGTTACTATTTTCACTGAATAGGTCTCTGCTGCTTACAGGTTGGTTCAGCTTTTCAGCATTTGACTTCCCGGAATGAACTGAACTGGATTGCATCGGGTTCCTCATACATATTTAAAGTGGAGAACTTTGATGCTTTGAAGGCTATTCAAAACCAGCTGAAGGAGAAGATCTTTGCCATTGAGGGTAAGTCAGAGATAGCAACTCACTTCAGAAAGCCTCAGCTACAAGTGATTTTCCTTTTCTGAACCTAGACTCCCAGGTCAGGCACTAATGCTTGCTGTAGTCTTTGATCTCCAGTGTTAAGATTTTCCTAAGAATCTTTGCATCTGTCATAGTTCATCTTTGTCCCTGAAAACCTAAGCATCATGCCTTCCTCCCCCAGGTACACAGATGGTAAGCAGTAGTTCTTTTGAACTGGAGATGTCCCAGGAGGGCTTCAGCGCTGCATTCACCCCTGTGAGTGACGTCGCCACTTTAGGCGATGATGTAGGATAAGGAGGAGGTGGGGGAAGGGAAGACAAGGGTGAGTGTTGGGTGGGCATATGGAGTCAGGAGTGGATACTTCTGTGGGTGCTTGCTCCAGTCTGCTCAGTCTTGAAATTGTTTCCGCTCAGGATGGACCAGTTCTGGGGGCTGTGGGAAGCTTCGACTGGTCTGGAGGTGCCTTCCTGTATCCCCCTAATGGGAGTCCCACATTCATCAACATGTCTCAGGAGCACGTGGACATGAGGGACTCTTACCTGGGTGAGAGAAGGTGGGGGGACGGGGGGGGGGACCAGCGAGAGGCGCATTGCTGGAGGAGGAAGCCTCGGTGCTGAGGCTCCCACCCTAACCCCAAGGTTACGCCACTGAACTGGCCCTTTGGAAGGGGGTGCAGAGCCTGGTCCTGGGGGCCCCTCGCCATCAGCACATCGGGAAGGTTATCATCTTCATCCATGCAACCAGGCAGTGGAGGCCACAAGCTGAGGTCACAGGGACCCAGGTTGGTACGGAGAGAGCCAGAGTGGACCGTGAGGGTGGGCTGGGTGTTCAGAGGCAGAGAAGGAAAAGGTGAGAGGGCTTTCAGGCCGTGGGCAGGTTCTGGTGCCGGGGAGAGGGATAGCACGGTGGTGTTCCTGACAGGGCCGGCAGGATGACCTGTGGCTCTGTGTTCAGATTGGCTCCTACTTTGGGGCCTCCCTCTGCTCTGTGGATGTGGACAGAGATGGCATCACTGACCTGGTCCTCATTGGGGCCCCTCATTACTACGAGCCGACCCAAGGAGGCCAGGTGTCCGTGTGTCCCCTGCCCAAGGGGGTGAGTGTTGATGGGACCTGGTTGGGGGGCTCTGGATGTGAGTGGAAGGTTTGCCTGTGTGGGGGCCTGACACTGTTTTGTTTAACAGAGGGCTCGGTGGCGATGTGACGCTCTTCTCCAAGGTGAGCAGGGCCATCCCTGGGGCCGCTTTGGGGCAGCCCTGACAGTGCTGGGGGACGTGAATGGGGACAAGCTGACAGACGTGGCCATCGGGGCCCCTGGAGAGGAGGAGAACCAGGGTGCTGTCTACGTGTTTCATGGAGTCTCAGGCCAGGGCATCAGCTGGGCCCATAGCCAGGTGAGGTCCCATCACTGTTCCTGTCACTATGACATCTTCCTCTTTGCTTCTCCCCCTCTTTCACCCCGCCACCTGGCAAATCCTCCCTTTTTACTTGTTTGACTTCCTTGCCCAGCATCAGGCATCTTGTAAGCAGCAAGTAACACTCGTGTGACTGAGAAGTGGAAATGTAGACGGCCTATGTGCTGCTTGTTCTGTGAGTTGATATTTAAGTAGCTTCCACCCAGGCCTTTTCATCTCCCAGAAGCTTTGCAAGGTGCACAGAGCTGGCATTAGCAAACCCATCTTATGGATGTGATTTGACCTGTTCAGTGTTTGCAATAGGCCAGGAGCGGTGATGCAAGGCTCCCGCAGGCCTCCTGGGCTCCCTATTGCCCATCAGTTCAAGTCGGACTGCCTTGTCTGACTCTTCACTAATCCCCTCACCTCCCTGATACTATGTGATTTCCAAAAATATTTTATTTTGCATTACTTAAAAAAATATAGTTATTAGTGCACATTAATTGTTCAAATGAACAGATTCAGTTGTGACATTTCCATAATGAGCACAATGTGCCTTCGCTGGATCCACTCGCCCTACTTCCTCCTCCCACCTGCTCCTGTCTACTCCCTTCTCCTTCCTGATGACCCCTTCTAGGTGCAGATCAGCTTTTGTTCCCCCAACATTTCACATGTGAGAGAAACATGTAATACTTATTTTTATGAGTCTAGCTTATTTTACTTAATGTGATCATCTCCAGGTTGACCCATGTTCCTGGAAATGACATGATTTTGTTCTTCTTATGGCTGAATAATACTCCATTGTGTTTACACACTCATTTTCTTTATCCATTCACTGTAAGCTGATTCCCCATCTTGGTTATTGTGAATAGTGTGGGATAAATTTGGATATACAGGATTCTTTTACATAGGCTCACTTTGATTCCTTTGGGTCTATACCTTGGAGTAGTATAGCTATACCATATAGTAATTCTATATTTAGCTTTTTGAGGAATTTCCATACTCTTCCACAGCAGTGGTATTATACTGTCACTGACAGTATATGTGTTGCTTTCCACCTGAATTCTCACTAGCATTTATTTATTCATTTGTTATAGATTCTTTTTTTTTATTTAAAGAAAGACTAAACAAAACAGTAAATGGGTAGATATAATACATACTTTCATAGAAAAAAATAAACAGTAGTAAATCACTAGTTGCTGTTTACGTATTGTCCTCTTACAAATAATTGTTCAAGATACAGAAGTGGAACATATAAGTGGGAATTCAAACAGTGAGATTACAAATAGTTCTATTCAACTGTCCAACAAAAACTTAGTAAAATGGTTATTTATCCTATCCACTTAAACATACATGCAGCTATCCATATCTTCATTCATATTGGGATTAAACAAACCAAAGCAGACTATAATCACTCTGGACAAAGAATAATAGTATTGCTGGATTTCACATGATGACACTCCTGGATCAGCACTGGGTACTTTAATGCCTTTTTTTTCTTCAAAGTATTTGTTCATTTCATCAAGAGTCATAAGATCATTTCTCATAAACTGTTTATAGGTTCTACACATGCATGAATCTTAACATGTATTTCTATCCTTTCTATATTAGAGGGAGAAACAAAACAAAGCAAGACAAAACAAAACATATTCCTATAAACACATGAAATGAAAAAGACTTGTAAGACCGTTGTACGAGGAGTTCTACCATGGTTACTGTGTTATCTCTTGTTATCTTCAACAGAATTGGCTATATTGTCGGATATAGTATAATCGAATGTATCAGTATGTAACCATGTTGATAGAAACACAACTTGGTAGACAGTGTTAAACTGCAAAAACAGGTAGTAATCAAGCCAGAATGGGTATTGTAGTGAATCTTGTCATCTTCAGTGTAGTTGTCTATACTCTCAGACTTGATACTATCAATTATAACAGTTTTAAATAAAATCTGTCGATAACAAACAGCAATCAAACAAACCAGATTTAACTAAGATCAGTCATGATAAAACAGTATAAGTTATACAGGGTTCCAGGTTAAGTTAATAGGAAATTAAGGATGATTACTATGTTATATTCTGATATTTTGGGGATAGCTGTCTGTGCTCTCAGATCTAGTGCTTGTAGACAAACTGGGACAGAATAAGTTCTATCTAAGCAGAGCGATGTGAGTAATATGGGTTTTGCTTCCTGATACACTATTAATAACATCTTCTGCTGTCTTTTAAAAACTATTCCTCCCCTATTTATTCATTTGTTTATTTTTTTGGTATTGGAGATTGACACAGGACCTTGCATTTGCCAAGTAAGCATTTATGCCGCTGAGCTAAACCCCTGGCATATTTTTGTTTTCTTGATAATTGCTATTCTGACTGAAGCAAAGTGGAATCTCACTCCAGTGCATGTTGTTTGTTTGTTTGTTTGTTTGTTTGTAGTATAGGGATCAGGGCCTTCACACTGAACAACATCCTCAGCTGACCTTCTTGCCTTTTAACTTTAAATTTAAAACAGGGTCTCAATAAGTTGCTAAGTTGCCCAGGCTGGGATGGAACTTGAAATTCTCCTGCCTCAGCCTCCCACAGTGCTAGGATTATAGGTATGAGTTAGGATTATCCTTGGCTTCAATGTAGTTTTGATTTTCATTTTGCTAATGGCTAATGGTGTCAAGCTTATTTTCATATATTTATTGGCCACTTGGACTTTTTTTGAGAATTGTCTGTTCACCTTATTTGCCCGTTATTGACTGGATTAATTGTTCACTTGATGTTAGATTTTCTGAATTCTTTATATATTCTGCATTAACCTTTTACCTGAGAAATATATAGCAAAATTTCTCTCCCATTCTGCAGGTTGTCTCTCACTCTGTTGATTGTTCCCTTTGCTATATATGCAGAAGCATTTTAATTTGGTATACTTCAGTTTGTCAATTCTTCCTATTATTTCCCAAGCTGCTGGTGCTGTAATCAGAAAACTTAATGCCAGTACCAGTATCGCAAAATGTTTTTGCTATGTTTTCTCCTAATAGCTTGAAAACTGCAGATGGTACATGAAGAACTCTGTATACCTGAATGATTTTATTACATTCCTGCCCTCAGTGATCCCACCAATGCCCAGCTAGGGGGAAACACTACACTCAAAGAAACAAAGTTCCTTGAGAAGACAGCGCTACTTCCCTTGGCAAAAATTGAGGAAATTCCAACTAAAGAATAGGCAAAGGATTTGAAGAGGTATTTCCCCCAGGAAGATAAACAAAGGGCCAAAAGGCACATGAAAATATTTCCACATTATTAGTCATCAGGCATCAGCAAATCAAAACCACAGTGAAGTATTTGTATTTACTATAGTGGTTAGAATTAAAAAGGCTGATAGTGACAAGTGTTGGTGAGGTTGTGGAGATGTGGAACCCTCCTGCACTGCTAGTGGGAATGTAAAAGGCTGTGTCTGCTTTGGAAAAACAGTTGGCAGCTACTCAAAAGATTCAATATAGAGTTGCCATACAATTCAGCAATGTTACTCTAAAACTGAAAACATATATTCACATAAAAATTTGGACATGAGTTGGCTGTGTGGTGGCACATTCCTATACTCCCAGCAATGGGGAGACTGAGGCAGGAGGATCACCAGAAATCTGAGGTCATCTTAGGCTACACAGTGAGTTCCAGTCCAGCCTAAACTACACAGGGAGATTCTGTCTCAAAACAAGACAACCTCTTCTGCAAAACAAAAACAACAACAAAAAAACCCTCTTGTATATGAATGTTCTTTGCAACATTATTCATAATAGCCAAGGTAGGAAAAATCCAAATATGTGTCAACTGACCAAGAATGAGGTGCTGATACAGGGTACAGTATAAAAGAGTCCTGAAAACTTAATGCTAAGTGAGTGAAGCCAGTCACAAACGACAATATGGTGTATGATCACATTTGTACAAAATATCCAAAACATGTGAATCTATAGAGGCAGAAAGTAGATTAGAGGTTTCCTAGGGCTAATATGAAAAGAAATGAAAGGCACAGGTGATTTCCCACAGACATGGGGTCTCTTTGTGAAGTGATGACAGTGTTCTGAAACTGATTGTGGTCAAGGTTTCACAATTCTGTGAACACACCAAACACTGTTGGGTTGTGTACCTTTCAGAGGTGAAGAAGACAGTATATAAATAATCTCTTGAGAAAATTGTTACTTCCTCGACCAAAAACAAAAACACTGTGAAATGTTCCTGAGGTTCTGCCATATCTGTGTGCCACTGGGCAAGCTCCTTATTTCTCTGTGCTCCGTTTCTTTGTGTGCAAAATGATGATCGTGATAGCACCAGCCTCATCCATCTCTGCTGTGTTGCATGAATGAGTTCGTGCCTGTTAAGTGTTTATAAGTAGCATAGCTTTGGCTGCCATAAAGGCTCCTAACTGTGTCACATCATGGTTGATGGCACCAGGGTGGGAGGGTATGTGGCAAGGAGAGGTTGAGAAGCCAGAGCACATGAGCTACATTGTCAGATCTCCTTAAAAATCTTCATCCTTTTTAAAATTTTAAGATGGGACCTCACTTCATTGCCCAGGATAGCCTTGAACCTGCAGCCTCCTGGGTAGTTGGGGTTGTAGGCACTTACTACCACGTTCAACTGTCAGTCTCATTCATTTATAACTCTCTAGAAATAACCAGGACCGCATAACAACTACCATATTCAATCCCATCTGAGGTCAATGCCCTTAGCCACTCAATCATCTTCCACTGGACTCCCCTTCTTAGAAGATCCAGTTCTCTGGGGTCCATGTCTCCAATACTTCACCTCTTAGGGAACAACCCACATGTAGATCACAGCCCAGCTCCTTCTTCAATACTCAACATAACTTGCTTTCTCTTCTGGACAGAGGGTCACAGGCTCCCAGCTTTTGCCTGGGCTCCAGCACTTTGGGCAGTCTCTCAGCGGAGGCCAGGACCTCACCCTGGATGGACTGGTGGATCTGGCCGTGGGGTCCCAGGGACACGTGCTACTGCTCAGGTGAGGGAAGCCACTTACTATGTGTATCCAAGGTCCACATGGACACCCAACCCACCCCTTTCTCCAGTTGTGCTGCCAGGGCCAAGAGCCTGGCCTCAGCTCAGTGTTTTCCCCATAGGACAAGACCTGTCCTCAGGGTAGGAGTAACCATGAGCTTCACACGTGCAGAGATCCCCAGGTCTATGTTTGAGTGTCAGGAGCAGGCAGCCTCTATCCAGGACCTGGGTGATGCCATTGTCTGCTTTGATATTTATGAAAGTACCAAGAGCCGAGGAGGTGAGTCCTTTCCCCAACCCTAGACACCCTGACTTTTGGGGTCCCCCAGTGCAAGATTCCTTTTTCCTGCGTGGCCCTTCCTTGCCTGGGGTGTCTCTCTGTCTCTGTCTTCTCCTCTCCCCTTCTCGGTCTCCCCCATGCACTTCTTCCCTTCCTAGGTAACCTCCAGAGCTCTGTGACCTTTGAACTTACCCTTGATCCTGGCCGCCTGAGTCCCCGTGCCACCTTCAAGGAGACAAATACCCGGACTCTGACTCGAGTCCAAGTCTTTGAGCTGAGCCGGCACTGTGAGACTTTGCAGTTGCTTCTACGGGTGAGGCAGCCTCAGCTGCATGTGGGTGGAGGTCCTTTGGAGGCTAGCAGACGACTGGGCAGGGAAGGACCAGGGCATGATATGGTGCTCTCTGGGGCTCGGCCTCAGCACAGGATCTGGCATGCAGGGAGTGCTCAATACACGGTAGCTGAGTGAGTGAACAGACCAGCTGAGGTTGGCTGCAGTGGTCAGAGGCTGCACAGCTGGATTTCAGGAAAGGGAATGGGACTGCTTGTGAGTTTGGTGCCACAGGCTGAGATTCTTTCAGGCACTCACTGGGCACACATTGATGCTGGCTCTGCTCCTCTGAGACAGGCTCTATGTAGGGGCTGGGCCCACAGTGGGCAACAAAGCTGTCGGTGCCCACTGGCAGCTCCTGGATAGGTGGAGGGAAAAAATAATGTTTTACATAGCGGATGTCAGGTAGTGACAGATGCTAGGAAGAAAGATAAAACCAGGGATGCAGACAGAGAGGAGGCCAGGTTGGGAAGATATTGAGGAAAATGAAGGAATCTACACATAGGATGAGAGCAGATCTGCGTGGCAGGGTAATACTAACAAATGCTTACTGAGTGTAGCCAAGCGTTTGCCTGGGACTTTCCTTAATACGCTCCCCTTCAATGCATGTGCTCTAGACCTGTGTGGAGGACTCAGTGACCCCCATTACTTTGCGCCTCAACTTCTCTCTGGAGGGCAATCCCATCCCTTCCCTCGGAGGGCTCCAACCTGTGCTGGCTTCAGATGCTCGGACGTACTTCACAGCCTCTGTGAGTGCAGGGCTCAGGATCCTCTGAGGGGTTACACTAGGCACCTCTGGGTCTCCCAAAAATGTGCATGGCCCTTCTCTCAGCTCCCCTTTGAGAAGAACTGTGGAGATGACCACATCTGCCAGGATGACCTTGCCATCACCTTTGGCTTCTTGGGGTAAGCATCTGCCTGTTTAGGTCTGCCATAGGGTCTCACCTCCCTTCTAGGACCTGGAACTCAGAACCCAAGTATGCTGTCCTCCGTCTCCTACCTCTGCATCCCATGCTTTATCCCAGCCCATTTTCAGCTGTAGTCACAGATTCACCCCCTTCTCCCCCAATGCCCAGCTTGAAGACATTGGTGGTGGGGAGCAACCTGGAACTGAACATTGAAGTGACAGTGTCCAATGATGGTGAAGACTCTTACGGAACCACAGTTACCCTCTTCTACCCAGAAGGGCTGTCCTATCTACGTGTGGCAAGACAACAGGTATTCTCTCTGGTGGGCTAGGAATAAGTACAGATAGGTCTGTGCAAGGTTCGAAACTCAGTCTGGTGGCCATTGCTTAGCATCTGTAACAGGCCAAAAGTCTGGGCTGGGCTCAGGTAAGCATGGTGGTACTATCTGGGGTTTGTCTCTGTTCATGTGGTGTTCAACTTTGAGCCTCACATTTTAAAGACACTATCAAAAATGAGTTTCTGGGGACCATCAATGTGGAGAAGAGGGTACTCCACCATAAATTTCTTTATATATCATATCATGTCAAGATCCCTTTTCCAAAGCAAAAAATGTTCCAATCTTGAAATATTTTAAGCATTATTATTTATTGGCTACTCTGAGTTGGGGTTCAACAAAGTTTTTCTATAAAGAATCAAATGGAAATATTTCGTCTTTGTAAACTGTACCATTTCCAGCAACTTCTCTGTAGTAGAATGAAAGCACCTGTTAATGTGAAAAAGTATGTGAACAAGCACATCTGTGGTCCAGTAAAGCTTATTGATAACAAGAGGATGTGAGCTATTTGCCAGTCTCTGTCTAGAAGACAGACTACAATCAAAGGAGTCAAAGAGAAACAGTTCTTTTCCTTTTGCACAAATTTTATTATGGAAAACTTAAACGTTTTTTTAAAAAAAGAGACAATAGTTTAACAAATCTCCCCAAAGATTCAATAATTACCAACATTTTTGCCCCAATTTCATCTATTTTTCCCTTTGCCGAAATATTTAAAAACAAATTCCAGAGAGTAAATCATCACACTCATTCTTATTTCATGCTGCAGTTCTGAATATTAGAAACATCTTACATGACCTCAGAACCATTATCTTACCCCAAGGATTGACGGATTCCTTGGTGTTTAGATCACAGTCCAATTTCCTTAATGGTCTCAAAATGTCTTTTGCCCTGATTGATTTGAATGGGAGTTGTACTCTCGGTCCACTTATATTTATTTGCTTTATCTTCCATGTCTTGTTCCCAATGGGAGGATATTTTAGTTAACATACGAAAAAACACACTAGGAAAAGCAACCTCCAGTATGTAGAGAATGACTGTCTTGTCATTCCAGTGCTCCTAGATATAGCAACCAAGAACTGTGACTTTTGTTGGATATTGATTTTAGCAAGTGAGCAGTAAAATATATACTTGGCGACCATCCAGGAAACAATCAGTATACCCTGCTGGCTATAGTTGAGTTGTGTGGTTATATTTTAAAAGTATTTTTAGTAGTTGGCGGTATACATTGATATATTACCTGCATTAAACAATATAAAATCAGAATATGCTTTAAATTATTCAGGAAAAGAAAAGTATAGAATAACTGAAAAAAAAACCAAGTGTTGAAGACTGCCAATATCTTCAGCTGAGTGATAGATACCTGGGGGTTGATTTTGTAGTCTCTACTTTTGAGTATGTTTGAAAATTTCCATAATAAAAGTTCTTTAAGATAACAATAAATAAAAAGAAGGAAGCTAAGAAATTAATTTCCACACTTGGAGAAAATTCGCGCAGATAATGTCTAAGTATCTTGTTCAAACATAACCTTAAGGTAGAGTCCAATGTCACCATTGGACATGAGTCTCTTTGGAACACTGGCAAAGAAATACCTGCTGTCTTTGTCTGCCTGCCTTTGCCTAGAACCAGCAGCAGCTTCGCTCCCTGAGACTGACGTGTGACAGCGCCCCCAATGGGGGCCAGGCTGCTTGGAGCACCTACTGCAGCATCAACCACCTCATCCTCCCTGGGGGCACACAGGTCAGCCTGGCCCCTGCCCCTGGCCCCGGTGCCCCGCCCCTTCCTGCTGTGCTCCCCTGCAATCTCTCTGTTCCTCCCTCTTCCTCAGATCACCTTTTTGGTCACCTTTGATGTGTCCCCCAAAGCTGTGCTGGGAAACCGGCTACTTGTGACAGCCAATGTGAGCAGGTAAGCGGGACCAGGCTTGGGCAGCATTTTTTCCTCCTGCAGCCTCACACTCCATCCTCCTCCTCTGTGGCCCTTAGCAACCAGCCTTTCCTCATTTCCAGTGAGAATAACACGCCCAGAACCAGCAAAACCACCTTCCAGCTAGAGCTCCCGGTGAAGTACGCTGTCTACACTGTAATCAGCAGGTACTCACAGGCGCCTCTCCATCATTCTGACTGGGGAGAGGGAGGGCTCTCACCTCACACAGCAGTTGGAATATCTGGCTTATTTTAGGCTTATTTGGCATCCTTTCAAGTGGTAGATGATTCTCCTAGCAGTGCTTATTAGTCAGTGGGTGTCTATCGTGGAATAGTAATAGAAACTTTGGTATCATTATGACCTACAATTAATAGAGGTTATAAGTCTCAGAACCCAAGATTCCTTTGGGTTTCCTGGACATATGAGACACATTTGAGATTCCCACAGCTTCATTGGGAAACAACATTACCATGATCCGAGCCAGAATCTCGTCAAGGGCAGGCAGCACCCTTGGATGTGTTTCTGCTCCCTGGGATGATGTGGGTGTGTTAGTCAGCTTTCTATCACTGTAACAAATACCTGATATATTCAATTTACAAGGAGTAAAGGTTTGCTTTGACTCACTGTTTGGAAGTTCTGGTTCATGCTCAGTTGGTCCCATCACTTTGGGCCTGTGGTGAGGCAGCACACCATGGCAGGAATGTGTGGTGGAACAGAGTGGCTCACCTCAAGGCCAGAGAGCAAAAAAAAAAAGAAGAAGGGGCTGTGGATCCAGGTCTTCTTTAGTGTCACATCTCCCAGTGACCAAAGGACCTTCTACTTGACCCCACCTTCTTTAGGGTTCATCACCTCCCAGTAGCAATACCCTGACTCATGGGCCTTCTCTAACACATGGGGCCTTCAGTGGCGCTCAAGATACAGGCCATAGCAGTGGGGAGAGAGTGAGGGCCTCCTGTAAGGGGGCATCTCAACTACTGAAGACTTTCCCCAAAGCGATTCTTTTAGAATCGCTCTTTTTTGGGGGGGGAGGGTCAGGGTTTGAGACAGGGCCTTGCACATAGCCAGGTTTACCTCAAACTTGCGGCAATGCTCCGGTCTCAGTCTCCCAAGTTCTGGGACTACAGGTGTGAGCCACCATGCCTGGCCAGAATTGCTCTTGACATTTGTGCAGGACAATTTCTTGCAAGGAACAGAATTATACCTTGTGGGGCTTTAGAATCTTTTTTCACCTTTGGCTCTTTGGCAAGCAAAGGGACAGATGGTTACCTATTGCAGATGCTGGATATCAGGGACGAACTGGAAGAAAGGTCTTAAAAATGCCACCCATGCAAGATTAAATGAGGAATCTAAAACTAAGAAGTAGCCAAGAGTTTGAGCAGATACCTTGCTTTTTTTATTTTAGTTTTTTCCAAATCCATTTTATTTCAAGTATAAAAAGAAAGAAAGAAAGAAAGAAAGAAGAAGAAGAAGAAGAAGAAGAAGAAGAAGAAGAAGAAGAAGAAGAAGAAGAAGAAGAAGAAGAAGAAGAAGAAAATTCCAAAAAATTTCAAAACGTGTCATTCAGGGACAACAATGGTACATACATTGTACATTGTATCCCCAAATCATTCACTCAGGGCACAAGACATCTGCTTTCAGTTGTCTGAACAATAATAGCACAAATCTTTCTCTTCAGTGAACTCAGAGAAATCAGTAGTATAATCGTCTTAACTATTTTTATATGCATATACATACATAAGTTTTTTTCTTTCAACTTCTCACATTAATGAAACAATACAATATTTACACATGTCTTATTTATTTCACGGTTGAGTATGTTCTCAAGTAGCATCCATTATGTGCCAGGCACAGTGCCTTGGTGACTTCCTATAAATTCATTTGACATCAAGAGTTTGTCGAGGACCTCTGTAGTCAAAACCATATATAAACCTTCGTTCTCCTGGAACATCCCTTGTTAGGTTCTCTTTTCAGCCTCCGTGTTTCACACGCTTATTTTTACTTGCACATCTGTGGGCCCCGGCAAGTGTATACTCAGGCACGTTTGCCAGGCCACAGCACATACCAGGGTTCTTACATCTTCTTGCAGGGTATGCCACCTCCAGCCATATGTGATCACATTCTGCAGATGCAACTGTGTAAAGAGAATCAGAGAGGTCTAGAGCATTTTGAGAAAGGAAAGAATGAGAATTCAGAGCAGAAGAGGCTGAGATTTGGACAGGAACCTGAGGAATAGGACCATGAGGGGCACGGGGAGAGCAGCCACCATATGAAGGTTCTCGCTGGCTATTTTGTGTCCAGGCTTGGACCCAAGTAGGTTTCAGGAGGTGGTGTGGTACTGAGACCTTGTGAAGAGTCTATTGTCCCCCTCAGCTCCAAGCTCCAGGGCAGGAAAAGCCAAGGATGGGGAGAGCAGAGCCCCAGCAAAGGCTTGTGGGAGTCCCAGGAGTTGCTGTGCTCCAGAAGATGTGGTCAGCATCGTTCACCGCAGGCTTCCCAGACTTTTGCTGTGCTCCCCACACACGCCAGCATCCTGAACACCCGTGAGGGCCTGAAAGGGAAAGTGAAGCGCAGAGAGACAAGCCGTGGCCCCTCTGTCCCGGCAGGAAGCAGGGTGACTCTCTGCTCCTTTTACAGCGCCCCTGCCGAGCCCACAGCGGCCCTCTCTGTGGGCAGCTCCTACAAGCACCTAACCTGGATCCCTCAACCCTCTTTCCCTCACCTGAGCCACTGGCCTCATCCCACATCACACGGAGGCCCCATTGCCCACCCATCCATGGTGCCAGATCCAGGGCCTCCTTGGGAGACCCCGTGGGATTTTACATCCATTCCTGCCTCTTCTCTCTCCAGCCAGGAGCAGTCAGTCAAGTACCTCAACTTCTCAGCTTCAGAAGAGGAAGGAGGCAGTGTGGCCGTACACAGATACCAGGCGAGTGCAGGGGCCGGAAGTGCTCAGACTGTGACCTGGGAGTTTGGTGTGGGCCCAGCTCTCATTCCCCTTCTCTGTGCAGGTGAATAACCTGGGTCAGAGGGACTTGCCTGTCACCGTCAACTTCTGGGTGCCTGTGGGGCTGAATGGAATAGCTACATGGGCAGAGATGGAGGTCTCCCACCCCCAGGTAGTAGTGCTCAACAACTGTGCACAGCTTCTGCACTAACATCCTTCTTCTCGGTGCCCTGTGCTCCCTATGAATCAGCTACATCCAAACTGAGATGCTCGTTCCCTTCATGTCTTCTCCTAGAACCCATCCATCCAGTGCTCCTCAGAGCAACTGATTCCCACAGAGGCTGACTTCCAGACTTACCTGCAGAAGAATCCTGAGCTGGTGAGGAGGGCTGGAGTCTGCTCCCTCCTGTGAGTCTCACGGTGGAGGAATTTAATTCAGGAATCCTACTATATTTTAAAGGCTACCTGCTGGACAGCCTGTGTGCCAGATACAATTGCTTCCCTCGAGTCACAGAGTTGAATGTTGTCTTCCACCTTCACACTCAGCTTCCTCTGGCCACATAGTACTTCTCTGCCCTAGGACTGCTCCATCGCCGACTGCCTAAGGTTTCGCTGCGACGTCCCCTCATTTGGCATCCAGGAGGAGCTTGACTTCATCCTGAAGGGCAACCTCAGCTTTGGCTGGGTCAGCCAGGTGTGTGGCCCAACAACAGGGCTCCTCCCCCAGCTCCATCTTCTACTCCGTGGGTCTGTGCTGTCTTCAGGCCAGGACATTTCCTAAACCCTGAGCTTCCTCTGGAGCCTGTGCCCCACATTTCCCCTCCTCTTTTGCAGACGCTGCAGAAGAAGGTGTTGGTTGTCAGCGTGGCTGAAATCACGTTCAACAGATCCATGTATTCCCAGCTGCCAGGGCAGGAGGCATTTCTGAGAGCCCAGGTAGCGACTGCGTGGTGGGCAGTGGCTGGTCTGAGGGCTCCGGATGCTGCATCTGTGTGTTGGCGGGGCATCTGCAAGCCCAGAAGGAGGAGAGATGGAGGTCCCTGGGCAGGACAGTTGTCCTCAAGCATCTGAGTGCTTCTTCCTGTCACTACTTGGAGGAGAGTCTGGGGGAGGGAGGAATGGGAGGTGAAAGCTGGGGAATCTGGAGGAGTCCGGGGACAACAAGAGGCCTGGTACTTACTGGTGGGGTCACCTCCACTCCAGATGAAGACAATGCTGGAGAAGTATGAGATCCATAACCCCATCCCCCTCATCGTGGGTAGCTGCGTGGGAGGTCTGCTGCTGCTGGCTCTCATCACGGCCTCACTATACAAGGTGAGTGCTTCATTCTTTCCCCTTTCTACAGGGTAAGAAAGAGCTCATTGTGGAAAGAGATATACATTCTTTCTAGTTTCTGGCATGTGAGAGAATCCCTCTGCCCATGATATTACCCACCCCTCTTGGTTCCCATGTTCATACCTTCTATCTGCCTTTCAGGCTTCTATCATCTACTTCTCTGTCTTTTCTGTCTTCTCCATTTTTCTACTTGACAGTAGCCTACAACAGAAAGCACGGATCTGAGTTTGAATGTTGATACCGTTGCAATTCTTTATTTCTTTGATGAGGTAAATGCCTGGTCTACTCTGGGTCTTGATATTTTCATTAAGAAGGTAATTCTCATGGTTTACAGAATCTTGCTTGACTCTAAATCATATAAAGTCTAAAGGTTTCCATTGCTGTCTTTGAACATAGGAGGTCTAGAATGGTGATCTCTCCCTCTTTCCTTTCTATGTCTTCTCTCGTTTATTGGGCTTCCTGACTTTCTTCTCTTTCTCCCCCAGGTTGGCTTCTTCAAACGTCAATATAAGGAAATGATGGAGGAGGCAAATGGACAGCTTGTTCCAGAATATGAGACACAGGACCCCCAGGTGGTCCAATGAGAGAACGTCCCCCGAACTCTTTTGACCTGTTTTGCCCCAAGAGATTTCCTAGCTCTGTTATTCTTACCTGAGTTGGGCCCAAAGGAGAAAGACACATTCCACATGGGGACAGCTGGGACCAGGCTGTTTTCACTCTGGGAGCGTGCAGCATGCCTACTGGACCGTCTTGCTCAGGAAAGTCCATTTGACTCATGAAACCTCCAACAGAGAACCCTAAGGACTGGCTCTTTGCTATAACACAGAATCTGCATGGGAGGTCGGTCTGCTGCAGAATGGACTTGGAATCAATACATAAAAAGACATGGGCTAAAGTGGCAAGTCCCAGTGTCCCTCCGCTAATCACCAATGATCTTTCTAAAATACAGAACTAAATAAGTCTAAATCATATATGGCCTAAAGGTTTCCATTGCTGTGCTTTGAACATAAATAAGTTGCTCCTCCTTATCTATTTTCAGTGAGTTCTCATTGCTCCCAGGGCACAGTGTCTGAATTCTCCAGGGTGATGTGAGAAGTACAGTTTTGTTTCCTAAATGTAGAATTCAGAGTACTTGGCATGAGATGTTCTATGCTTCCCTGTCGTTCTCATCTCTAGTAACGTACCACCAGCAGAAGCTTGGGGCTTCTTCTTGGAAATCTCAGTTCAAATTGGAATAAAACATTTACATGTTGCACTGTGTAAAGCTGGTGTCCCGCACAGGTCAGCATTGCTGGCTGGGAAGGAGGTGCATTCTCACAGGAGGGGATCTAGTGCTACGGCTGCTCAACCAGCTGCAGGTCCAAAGAGGCCCAGGCCACTTCTGTTTTTTGAAGCTCCAAATGTAGGAAATGAGAATTCCCAGGACATGATTATAAAAAGTGCATTTCAAAAATTTGTACTAATAAAATATGCACAAAAGGTGTATGTAACGTTAATAGAAACTATGTCAAATGTCTAAGGTTGAGGCCTTCTTTGGATCTGAGTGATGGACAGTGAGGGGCATTGGGACTCCACATCATGGTGGACCCTGGCCAGCCCAAGGCTTGGATCCAGGAAAAGACTGTTAACCAGAGTGCGGGTTATGATCACCTCTCAATGAGGGTAACCTGAGCTCTTGATCCACCCTGTCCTTACGGCTGTTGGCAACTTATGGAGCTGTGTGGGGAACTGAGGGGAAGGACAGGGACAGAGAAGGGACCATCCTCAGAGTCTGCTCTTTTGCCTGGAAAGGTCACCAGAGTGAACCAGTACACACGTATTTCTTACCAATACTAGGATGTATTGAAGCGTGCTCAGACGGTCAGACTTTATGAGAATTTGGCCCTAGAATGATGTTTGTCAAAATGTGTTCCACAAACTTCAGGTGATCACCGATGATCTTCTAAGTTGTAAGTTTTTGGACAAAAAAGCAAGAAACAATCTTATCTTCAATCATCTCAAACATTTGAAACTGGTAATTGGAAGAGTTACTCCCGTGGTAATTGTGTTCCTAAAGACTGCATAGAGACCTGGAGGACAGCACTGGGACTCTTGTTTTACACTCAGGCAATAGAGGTTGTTTTCACACAACCTCCCCTTGTGTACTATTATTTTCACTTGGTACATTTGCATTTTGGTGGATGCTATTGTGCTGTGTCGTATCCCCAAATCGTAGAAGTGGAACAGTGACTTAAAAGCACTAAATTTGTAATAACTGTAATAGCTGCAATTGAGTACAATGTCATTAAAATCAGCATTGGCTTTTTAAATTGAGTTCAGTGCACTTAGAGATAAGAAATGCATGAATGTTAGGATGAGTAACTGTAAGCCAAAAAATATATCTAGGAAATATTGTACTATGCAAAACTTAGATCTTATTTGTTCTGCTATGCATTCACTTCTAACCCATCTGTGGCACATAGTGGAATCATGTAGCTTCAAAGCTGTTGCATCATTTGAAAAATATATAGTGGCTTCTCGGGTAAAGTAGCAAAATTTCTTAAAAAAAAAACTATAACACAAAGCTTTCTGACCCAAAATTAGTGAATGTTATCACTTAAACATAGAAAAGAGAGGCAAAGCTACAGTGATACAAAATCAAAGTTGCTCTTATAGCAAAAGCAGGATGAGTCACATAATCTCCAAGAAGTTTGTAAAAAGCACTAGGAGAGTTAATGCTCGTATTAGAAGGCAGGTTTTGCTGCAAGCAGCAACAGAAAAGAGATACATAGAACCATATAAAGGGCCTTTGCACTCCTAGCAGTCAAGGTATGGTTTGTTGTTTAATTCATTGGTTCAACAATGACATTGTGAGACAGACTGGGAGGCTGAGGTAGGAGGATTGCTTGCATTCAGGAGTCTGGGGCCAACCTGGGCAGCATAGTGAAACTCCACCTTAAACAACAAAAACCAGGTTTGTCCGTATTCTCCGAACTTTGTGGCTTTTGTTTTTACTATCCCTTCTGGTTGCCAGAGCGGTATATCCTCAGATACAGCCTTAGATAACTGTATCCACAGGCCAAAAGGGCAGGTTCTCTTCGTGCTTCTCTTTACCAAGAAGCTGAATCATTTTTAAGTATTCTTGTATTCACTATGTCCAGGATTGATTTCATCCCAGGACTGTGGAGGGCTGGGAAAATGATCGTCTATCTTTTATACACTAAATGGGAGAGAGCACTGACAGAGAGGAAGATGGTGGCACACTACTGGGTGTTGGATAGGCTGCCTGTAGTGACTGGAAAACACGATGCCTGAAGCATAGGCTAGGGGAAAATTACTTTATCAAAGATGGGCTTGGAATGCTCAGCGGCACAAGCACCTGTCTGGCATGTGCAATGTTATGAGTTCGATCCCAGGTACCAAAGCAAAAGCAAAAACAAAAACGATGAGCTTGGACGGTGTGTAATGTCAGAAATGTAGAGGAACAGCAATGATTAACTCACACGTGTGGGAGAGTAACACGTTACTTAATACTGGGATTAAGCACCCGATGTGTAGAGTCTGAATCGGGTATCTAGCCTTGACAGTGCATATATGTGGAGTCAGAAAACTCAAGCAGCAGACAGGAAGGTTTAATTGGTTGTTGATAATCAATGTGTGATGGGGAAGATGAGGTGAGATCATTGTGTTGGAATGCTGGCCCAGAGAGGCTGCTTTTTACATAGCTGTATTCAGAGGGGACAGGGCAGGTGGCAGTGTAACTCCTAACCTTGCTTCAGCATTTAAGAACAGAAAAACTTGTGAACCTGTGATCATGGCCATTCAGTGTTCATCTTTTGGGTGTTGTATGGAGATACTGGCAAGTCGGCAAAGGATTTCCAGATTAAAATACTGGCAAAGTGGAAAGATGGCCATTAATTTTAAAGAATTAATTATGATACAATTCATATAACATAAAATTCACTATCATAACCATTTTAAGTGCACATTTCAATGACGCATACACCCATCTTAATAGCGCTCTTCACCTCATGTACAAATTAAGCAATTTCCAATTTTCACTCCTGTCTATCTCCTAGCAGCCACCATTCTACTTTCTCTGAGTTTGATGTGTTTGGTTTCTCCTTTGAATGGAATCATACAATGTTTGTCTTTTTGTGACTGCTTTGTATTGCTCTGCAAGTTTCATCCATGTCGTAGCATATTTCAGCATTTTCCTCTTTTTGAGACTGCACAAAATTCCATTGAATACATAGATCACACTTAATCTACTCACCTGTCAGTGGACTCTTGGATTACTTTTAGTTTTGGGCATTGTGAATAATCTTATGAGCATGTGTGTAAAAAATACCTCTGCAAGGCCTGGCTTTCAGTTCTTCTGAGTAGATAGCCAGAATTGGAGTTGCTGAATTACACATTAATTATATTTTTAACATTTGGGGAACTTACGTGTGGTTCTCCATAGTGGCTGTCTTACATTCTCACTAAGTGTTCTGGTTTCTCTGTGTGCTTAACAATACTTACTTTCTGTTTCTGTTGGTTTTATAGCTGTCTCATTGTGGTATTAATTTGAATTTCCCTAATGATGAGTAAGGTTGGATATCTTTCCATGAGCTTGTTATTTGTACATTTCCTTTGAAAGTATGTCTATTTTAGTCCTGATTCCCTCTGTCTCTTTCTCTCTCTCCCTCCTTCTCCTCCTCTCTCTCTCTCTCTTTGTTTTTCTGGTGATCAAACCTAAGGCCTCATGCACACTAAGCAAACACTATTATGAGCTACACCTCTAGCTTTCTTTGCCCCCCCCCTTTTTTGAGACAGGGTCTTGGTATGAGTTCAGGCTGACCTTGATCTCAATATGTAGCCAAGGCTGGCCTAGAACTCATGGCAAGCCTCTTGCTTCAACCTCCCAAGTGCTGGGATTACAGGCATGCACCACCATGCTCAGCAGTCTTTGCCCATTTTTAAATCACATCATTCATTTTTTTGATTGTTCGGTTGTAGGAATTCTTTAATTTCTTTAAATATGGTGGATATAAAAATCTTATCCGATATATGATTTGCATATATTTTCCCCTTTCCAGATGGTTCCTTTTACTCTGTTTTCACAGCACTGGGGATTGAAGCCAGGGCCTTTTTATTGAGGTACATTCCCACTCCTTTTTAAATTTTTTTATTTTGAGATAGTCCTGCCAAATTGCTAAAATTGGCTGAGATCAAACTTGCAGTTTCCTGCCTTAATCTTCCAAAGTGCTGGATTACAGGTGTGTGCCGCCATGTCTGGCTGTTGTGTCCTTTAAAGTATAGTTTTTAATTTTGATGTAGTCTATCTACTTTTTCTTTTATTGTTTGTACTTTTGGTGTTGTATCCAAGAAATCATTGCTAAGTTCAATGCTCTGAAAAGTTGGCCTTATTTTTTCTTTTAAGAGTTTTATAGTTTCAGCTGTTGTGTTTAAGTCTTTGGCCCATTTTTGTACTAATTTTTGTGTATGTTGTAAGGTAAAGGCCCAACTTTACTCATTTGCATGTGGATGTCTAGTCTTTCTAATTCCTTCTACCTCCATTACCAAGTAACTAATTTGTTTTCTGTCTGTCTAGATTATTTGGCATTTTCTAGGTTTTGTATTGGTGAAATCATACATTATTTGCTTTTTAAAGTTTGTTTTCTTTCACTCAGCATATTTGAGATTCATTCGTATTGTTATGTATGTAAATACTTCATTCCTATTTATTATCAAGTAGTATTTGATTGGAACCACGTAAGATTTAAAATCATTAATGAGATTTCAGAATATGATGGTGACCAATAGTCCATTGCCTTCGTAAAGCTACACAGCTCAATGATATATTATTCAGTGTTTTCTATTTTTTAAATTTTTTTTATTTTAAACAAAACAAAACAGAACAGAACAAAGCAGATCAGAGCAAAACAATGCAAGTAACACAGAATTTCAAAATAAGACAACAGGAAATCAACAGTGGTTACCATAGTGTCTCTTTTTTTCTTTGAAATAGTTGTTCATACCTTCACATACAATAAATTAATACAAAACAAAATAATATAAAACCAATAAAAAGAATGAGAGCCTTACAGGCCTTCCAAACCAGACAATAAGAAATCAATAATGGCTTTTCTTTCTTTCTTTCTTTCTTTCTTTCTTTCTTTCTTTCTTTCTTTCTTTCTTTCTCTCTCTCTCTCTCTCTCTCTCTTTCTTTCTTTCTTTCTTTCTTTCTTTCTTTCTTTCTTTCTTTCTGTCTCCTTCTCCTTCTCCTTC